GAACCACCAGTAGGGCGCACCTGTGGATCAGGGGAACCACCAGCAGGGCGCACCTGTGGAGCAGGGGAACCACCAGCAGGGGGCACACCTGTGCAATGGGGGAACCACTATCAGGGCGCACCTGTGGAGCAGGGGAACTACCAGTAGGGTGCACCTGTGGATCAGGGGAACCACCAGCAGGGCGCACCTGTGGAGCAGGGGAACCAGCAGCAGGGCGCACCTGTGGAGCAGGGGAACCACCAGCAGGGGGCGCACCTGTGCAATAGGAGAATCACCAGTAGGGCGCACACCTGTGGAGCAGGGGAACCACCAGCAGGGTGCACACCTGTGCAATAGGGGAACCACCAGTAGGGCGCACACCTGTGGAGCAGGGGAACCACCAGCAGGGAGAACACCTTGCAATGGGGGAACCACTATCAGGGTGCACCTGTGGAGCAGGGGAACCACCAGCAGGGGGCGCACCTGTGCAATAGGGGAACCACCAGTAGGGCGCACACCTGTGGAGCAGAGGAACCACCAGCAGGGGGAACACCTGTGCAATGAGGGAACCACTATCAAGGTGCACCTGTGGAGCAGGGCAACCACCAGCAGGGGGCGCACCTGTGCAATAGGGGAACAACCAGTAGGGTGCACACCTGTGGAGCTGGGGAGCCACCAGCAGGAGGCACCTGTGCAATGGGGAAACCACTATCAGGGCACACACCTGTGGAGCAAGGGAACCAGTAGCAGGGCAAGCACTTGTGGAGCAGGAGGACCACTAGGGGAACCACCAGCAGCTCGCAGGCCTATGCAGCAGGGGAACCACCAGCAGGGTGTGTGCCTGTGGAGCAGGGGAACCACCATCAGGGGGCACCTGTGGAGCAGGGGAACCACCAGCAGAGCACACACCTGTGGATCAGGGGAACCACCATCAGGGGGCACCTGTGGAGCAGGGGAGCCACCAGCAGGGGGCGCCTGTGGAGCAGGGGAACCACCAGCAGGGGGCACACCTGTGCAATGGGGGAACCACTATCAGGGCGCACCTGTGGAGCAGGGGAGCCACCAGCAGGGGGCGCCTGTGAATCAGGGAAATCACCAGCAGGGGGCGCCTGTGGAGCAGGGGAGCCACCAGCAGGGGGCGCCTGTGGAGCAGGGGAACCACCAGCAGAGTGTGTGCCTGTGGAGCAGGGGAGCCACCAGCAGGGGGCGCCTGTGGAGCAGGAGCTTTCCTTGTTATTTCTCAAATAAGGAAGCAGAGCACCTGGATGTGGCCGTGGCGTGAGAGTCACGGAGCCCAGCTAACAGACGCGGAGGAGGCAGGGCTAATAAACACTGTCCACGTCAGGGTGACAGAGGATCTGAGCATGGTGGATTCCACTATGGAGGGGTCCTGGAACCCATTCCCTGCGGGCACTGAGGACTGGGCTTTGAAATGTAAGCACATGTGCGCGCAGTGGGGAGACAGAATCTAGTAAAATGAAGGTTAAGTTTAAGTTCGACAATCGACAGGTACATAATTCTGAAATCTGCAGGACAGGCTGGAGCGCCAGGGAGGAGCTGGTGCTGCACAACTGCTTCCTCATCTAGAGACCTCAGTCCTTCCTCTGAGGCCTTCAACTGATCGCACAAGGCCCACCCCACAATGGAGGGTCAGCAAAGTCGGCTGGTTTAATGTTAGTCCGTCTCACAGAACCTCCACAGCGATACCTATGGTACTGTTGGGTCAAATGTCCAGGGACTGACGCCGGGTGAGTTGCCACAGGAAACTGACTTCCTTTCTCTTGAGGACGAGCAGCAGAACCCAGCAGATCTCCTGCCAGTCACGATACCTGCTGCCCGGGGCCCACCCTGGTGTGCAGCGGGGCCTTCTCCAAGGGCTCAGAACTGACCAGCACAGGGAGGCCGGGCAGTGGTTCCCAGGGCCGACTGCCTGCTCGGCTGCCCCTCTGCACCACTGACTGCAGTGGACAGGACAGGCCATCCCCCCAGGAGTGGTGGCAGGAGGTGACAGTTGTCTCTGTGCCCTCCTGGACCTTCTCCACCCTGCCCAGGCCAGCCCCGAGGCTCCCCCGATGACCTCCAGACTGCCAGGGCTCAGCCACGCAGGGGCCAGTCCTGGCCAGGGCCCCGTGGCCAGCACAGCTGGGCTGGCTCCTCCCTGCCCTGCCGTGGGGGTGGCAGCGCTCCCCGCTGCTGTTCGCCCTGCGCTGGCCCTTCCCCGCCATACTGCACCGGCCACCCAGGTTCCCTGGACGCGGTCAGCTGGCCTCTGCTTCCTGCCAGCCGCACTGACCCCTCCCCAGCCAGGGAGCGAGGTGTGCCCAGGTCACCGACCGCAGGGAGCCCCTGTGCCAGCCCCAGGGTGGAGGGGCCTGGGCTCAGGGCTCCCCAGGCGCCCGCCCGCAGCCCAGGGCCGGGTGGACCCCGCGGGCGTACCTGGTGGATCTCCTGCCAGCCGTTCTCGTCCCGGCAGCACACGGAGGCGTGCTCGTGCAGCAGGAGCTCGCAGCAGTAGGGGTCCCCGCCCACGATGGCCGTGTGGTACAGCGGCGTGAGGCCGTAGCTGTCCTTGTAGTCGGGGGACGCCCCGAGCTCCAGGAGGGTCTGCAAAAGGCCCAGGTGCGGTCAGTGCGTCCCAGCCTTCCGCAGGCCAGGGGACAGGGCCCGCGTTCCCGCAGCGAGGGGCCTGGTCCAGCCGTAAGGGGGCGGGTGGGCGCCTCCCTGCCTGCAGCCCACCTGCCTGAGGGGACAGAGGGGTCACGGTCCTCCACACACAGGGCAGGGGTGGAAGGCCTGGCGGTCGGGGGGGACTGAGAAGATGAGGGCTGGGTGTCCAAGACAGTGGTCACCACAGCTGACCTGGGGTCAGCACAAGGAGCAGCCCTCCCCTGCTCCTGCGCCCTCCTGCCCTCCGCCAGGCACAGCGAGGGCAAGGGAGGGGCTTCTGGGCCTCTAAAGGGGCAAGACCCACCCCCTCCCCCGCTCCCGCTGGGCGCCCTCCTCTGTCCTGGGCAGCGGTGTCCTGAGGGGACACAGGGCCTCCAGGGAAGGCTGCGCTGGACTCTGTGACCTAGAACAGGACGCGTGACCTCAGTGAGGCCCAAGGGCAGTGAGCCGCGGCAGTGTCCGGCAGCCCTCAGGAGGGGGCAGCTGAGAAAAGCCCCTGCCCCAGGGTCAGCATCAGGGCCGACCGTGTCCCCCTCCCCAGGGCTCTGGTGGAGAACGGGCAGGGGGCACCTGGGTTCTCTCCCGTTGGGGGAGGGTGGGACACCGGAGGAGGACGAGGCACAGCACACCCTTCCTGGCTCCCCACGCCCCGTGGCGGGGGAGCGAGGGCTCAGTGCCCACTGGGTGGTGGCCTCACAGGGACGCTGGCTTTCGGTCCTGTCTCAGGGGTCACAGACACAGCCCTAAAAGGGCGGGGCCGAGGGGGGGCAGGAGGCCTGGACACCGCTGTTGTCCCAGGGGACAGGAGCCACAGTCCTCGGGTGGCCCCTGCGGGGAGGCCACGGGGCAGCCACAGGGCCCATGCGGGGTGGCCCCCGGACAGGCCGAGTACCTTCAGGGCGGCTTGGTTCCGGGTGCGGGCGGCCTTGTGCAGGGCGGTCATCCCGTCTCTGGCGCGGAAGTCCAGGTGAGCCCCGCCGTTCCTGAGCGCTTTGATGACCTCCGTGGAGCCGTCCAGCTGGGCCGCCAGGGTCAGGGGAGTCTCTGCGGGGCCCGGAGACACACCTTAGCGCCCACACGTGGGCAAGGCCAGGGAGCCCCAAGCCCAGCCTCGCTCCAGCGCCTGGAACTCGGGGACTTGAAGGACGGACCCCAGATGTCATGCCCAGCCCCTGGCCAGCCTCACGTCCAGCAGTCGGGTGGCCCAGGCAGCCCTGGGCCCAGACGGTGACAGCGACGAGGCCCCCAGGCACCCATCCAGCTGGGCAGAGGGGCCCTCACCCCTGGCAATTCCAGGCTGCACGGGGTGGGCAGAAGCCCCGGAGGAGGGTGAGGTCTGCCCCCTGGGGACAGGGGTGGCCAAGGGTCCCCAGCCTCCACACGCCCTCTGCTGAGGAGTGCACCGCGGGCTCCTGTGACCCAGAAAGCCCTCAGCCAAGAGCCGCTGTCTTGGGGCAGCTGGGGGCGGACCCCCACCCAGGCCCCTGGCCCTCGTCCTGAGACAGTCTACACCCTGCGGTCATTTATGCAGGAGGGTCCCTCTGTCCTGCCTGCGTCTCTCACCCGCCAGCCACAGCTCGGCCGCCTGGCTTCCTGGTGGGTGCCACACCCCGCCCAGCCGCCAGGCGCTGCAGACCCCCCCCCCAGCTAACGGTGACGCGCACGCCCACACTGGCTCCTGACGGACGGCTGGCTCCCCACTCCCCGTCACACGCGAGGTCCCAGGAGGGCCACCGAGCACCTCTGTGACGCGCAGCCCCGGGCGGGGTTCTTTAAAGGAAAACAGGACGCTTCCGGGACACCTGAGGGACTTCCGTGACCTGGGACGTTGCCTGCATAGGCCTGGCCTGGCGAGGGGTGGCGGGACCGGCCAGCTGGGAAGGGGCTCTGTGTGTGCAGGTCAGCCCTGACCACCGCTGGCTGCTGTCTCTCCTGCGGCCTCCCGGGTGGGCGCGGGGCATCTGGAGGCTACTGAGAGGCCCTTCCTTGGAGCTGGGGCGAGGGCAGGGTGGGTCCTGGAAGGACGTGAAAGGACTGGTGGCCTGAAGGACTTGGTGTGTCCACCTGAGCTGGGGCCAGCGGGCCCTCGGGACTGTCCTGTCAAAAGCGGGACAGTCCAGTCTAGTTCCTCGTGGGGAGGTCTCACGGGTGCTGTCCCAGGACAGCCTTGTTCTGTACTTGGGGACACGGTCTCGGGGCCTCCCAGGTCACGTCCAGGCCAGGCCGGAGCCACAGGGACAGCTCCACCCACAGGCCCCCGTCAGTGCTGGGCACCACACTGAGCCCAACAGCAGGGCAGGGAGGACCGTCCCCCGTGGAAGGAACAGGACTGTGGGTGACACCCTGCCATCAAGCTCTGAAGGTTCCAGAGCCTCCTCAAATGACATTCCAGACTGGCCACATTCAGCTCTGGCCAGACCCCCCTGGCCTGGTCAGCAGAGAGCCATCTGTGGCCCTGGCTCAGGCGGCACATTTGCAGAGGGGATGTCCAGTGAGGCTCCACGTTTGGGGCCGATGGACGACCCCAGGGAGACGCTGGCCAATCAGCTGTGAGCTGCAGCATCGTGGGGCTGCAGGGTCTCACGCTGGGGACACGCCGTGGCTCTCGAATGAGTGTGGCAACCTCGCGGCTCTGCCACTCGCGGCTCTGCCACTCGTGGCTCTGCCAGCGCTCCGGGGCTTTCACGTGCTGCAGTCGCCTCGTCTGAACCTCGTGCCTGACGCTCACTACGGACCTTCAGGAGCGACTCCGTCCCCCTCCACGTGGACAGGGGAGAAGGATCTGCAATGTTGGGAAATGACCTTGAAGGCCCGCATGCTTCCAGGGTCCAGGCGTGTCCAGGGTGCTTCAAAGGCACCAGCGGGCAGTGGGGCCCCGCAGCACAGCCAGAGGCAGCCACAGCCTCGGTCTTGGCAGGACTGGAGTGAGGCGGGCAGCCGGGCAGCTGGGCAGGTGGGCAGGGAGAGGGCTCAGAACAGCCTCCAGCAGGCGCCAAGCAGGGGCTGGGGGCGGGAGGCCCCTGTGTGTCCCATGAACTGCCAAGGGATGAGGAAGCAGGGGCCAGAGACCCCAGAGCCACGCCAGGCAGCCGCCGTGGCATAATGACAGGGAGGGGCCCCGGCTGGGGAGCAGGACGTGAGGGCGACTCTGTGTTCCAAACACAGGGAACCGCGTGGCGGGGCATCCCCAGTGTTGGGTCAGCTGACCCGACCAGCCACGGACTGGAAATGCCAAAGCCACGCGACCATTAGAATAACGGGGTGGCGGACCGCAGGACAGAGCAGCCGGGGCACACGCCGGGCGGCCTGGGGCGTCCAGGCAGCCCAGACACAAGGCCACGTCCACGGAAGACGCACGGCTCCTGCAAATGCTGCACCTGGCACAGAGGGCGCCGAGCACCTGGGGTCTTGGTGTCTGGGCAGACCTGGGACAGTTCCTGGGGGCAGGCAAGGTAGCCACAGGAGAGAACGTCCCCGGGCCACTGGCCACTAAGCCGTCAGAGCAACAGTGACGCCAGAGCAGGCGCCCGCAGGAACTCAGCTCTGCCCGGCCACTGCACCTTGGGGAGGCGCTGACCCCCCGCGAGGGTCCCCTCCACAGAGCGCGGCAGGGAAGGGCGAGAAACCAGGCGCCTTACAGGAGATCTCCGCAGGAGCCACCCCCAAAGGAGGGCCAGGTCAGCTCAGAGGCAGGACCCGCCGACAGCCTGCACCCTCAGAACCGGTCACTGTGATCGTCCCCAGCCTCGGTGCCTCTGGCTGGCCCCAAACCTGTCAAGGCCATCGGGACCCAGGAAGCTCTGGGAAGCTGCCCAGATACGGGAGCCGTGAGAGGCGATGGCGGGGGGCACCCGGGGCAGAGTGGGAAAGGAGGATGGAAATTTGGATGGAGCCTGGGCTCAGGAACAGCAGGCAGCTGGTACCAGCTCTGACGGGCGGGCACGGCACCAGCCTAAGGTCGGGGAGTGCCAGGGAGCGGGGTCCCAGGGAGCTGGGTCCCAGGGAGCTAGGTGCTGGGGAGCAGGGTGTTGCAGAGCAGGGTGCTGGGGAGCAGGGTCCTGGGGGTGGGGTGCCAGCAGGGGACTCTGCTCTATCCTGGGATCCTGTGGTTAAAGCTGTCCTGAAAGTGAGTCTATTTGGGAAAACCTCACGGCTCTCCCTCGGGTGTCGCGTGACGGGAGGAGCTGCTGCTCAGCCGTAGGGGAGACGCTGGGGAAAGGTCCAAGTCCTGTGCAGGGTGGACAGAAGGAAAGCACACCCCCAGTGAAGAGGTGGGTGGAGACACCCCTCGCCTGGCATGGGGGCACCTCCCCAGTGGACATCCACAGGAGCCCGGGGAAGGATCTCCCGTCCTGTGTCACCAGGGCTGTGAATTAAAACGACACGCACTGCACAGAGGGCCGCGTTGGAAACACGGACATCCCGGGTGCCGGTGGGGGTGGGGCAGGGCACGCGCTGTCCTCGCCGGCAGTGGGTCGGATGGCACAGTCCCCGAGGCACAGGCCATGACGGTGCCCGAGGTGTCGCCCCACGTGAGGTGACAGTGAACGTGACGGTGGCTTTATTCAGAGCTGACCAGGCCACCGTGCCCAACCTGTTTGCAGGCTGGAGGGGACCCTGGTGCACACAGGCACAAATCCCCAGGGTGCACGGCAGGCACCAGAGCCAGCCCCCACCAACCCGGGCCAGTGACCAGGATGACACCCCACACCCGCGCCAGCGCCAGGCGTCCACATGGGACACGGGACGGGCCACCTGGGTGCTGCCCACACTTCCTGCTGGATCCTCCCACAAACCCAAAGCTGGCGTTGAGCCCGACCCCAGCTCGCTCCCGTGGACCGGCCCGCGCCTGGGCCTGGCCTCGCCCACCTGCCCATCTCGCCTGTTGGCGCGTCTTGTCTTGCGTGGGCGCGTCCACCTTTCTGAGTCACCGCGCTCCCTCCCGAGCCCAGCAGGTGTGACCAAGAAACTCCTGAAATAACTGGACGCGGTCCCTGGAGGCCGGAGCCAGTGACTCGGGGACCTTGAGGATCCTTCATTCGCAAGAGTGATCTGTGTCCCCTCAAGTCCCACCCACCCACGCGCCCAGTGCTGTGCTTCCCGCAGAATTAAAAACAGTGATTCATCCAGGGCCGCGGGGGCTGCGGGACAAGGACGTCAGTCACACATCCAGCCAGGAAGTGTCCTGGGATCCATGGTCTGCGAAGCCTTCTAATTGGGCCGTGCGGGAGCGGCAGGGGCTCCCGGGGCTGGCCACAGCGACGCGCGGGTGGAGCGGGCCTCTCGGCAGGACGAGGAGCAGCTTGGCTCCCCGGCAGCCTGGCAGGCATCAGAGTGTGGCCACTGGACAGCAGTTCAGCAGCTGGACGTCACACGCGCTGCGGATCACACAGGGCTCTGGGGAACCCGCTGCAGTGGACATTCACCCCGGGGTCTGTCCCCATGGAGGCAGGCGCGTCGGAGCGCTCGTCCCCAGCGCGGTCGGCAGGCCTTCACAGCAAGGCGGCAGCTGCACCCTCGGGCTGGGCCTGGTGACAGTCACATCTACCACGGGCAGCAGGCAGCAGCTGGTCACACGCGGCTAGGTGGTCACTGACGGGTCATTCCCCTGGGACTCAATCATCGCTGGCGCGTCCCTCCATCCAGACAGGCTGCTTCCCCTGACTCGGGGATGGCGGCCAGGCCCAGGCACCGTGGCATTTTGTGGTCTTGGGAAGGAAGCCATTGGTGCCTTGTCCCCAACAAGAACTGGACCTGCTGCCCCAGCCAGGACCACGGCCTGTCCAGCCGGCATGTCAGGAGGAGGCAGGCCCTGGGGGTAGAGCCAAAGCTCCTCATGGTGATAGGAGACTGCCGTGGCTCCTGCTGCTGTGACACGGTCCCAGGCCCAGGCCGCTCCCTGGCTGCACATTGCCGCTCACAGCCCTGGAGGTGGGGGCCCAAGGTGTGGGAGGCCTGTGTCCTGGTCCCCAGCCCCTTCTTCACGCCTGGTGGACGGGCAGGAGCAGGGCCTTCAGGCAGGCACCAGGGTCACCCAGGAAGCCAGGACCCGGGGTCACCTCCCAAAGCCAGCCCTGTCTCTCCATGGCCAGAACAGACAGGAAACGGCATCTGCTGAGACTTAGCTGATGCTGATGACAACTAGGAACTTCTATAAACCCTGCAGTGGCCCAGAGTACTCGTCCCGGGCTCCTGTTCTCCTGCCTTTAGAGAAGACCACGGGATTCAGGAGAGGAGGAGACTGAAGTTCAGAGAGGCTCAGGGACCTGTCTGCGCACAGCTGTTTGCAGAGACACTGGGGCTGAAGGCGGCTCTCCCTGAGGCCCTCCAGGGCCTGGTGCTGAGCTGGCTTCTGGGGCTCAGGACATGGTCCTGTGCCACTGCAGCCCTGGGTCCCAGCAGGGCAGCATCCGCCACCTGCAGGTGTGGGTTTCAGGTGAAGCCGCATCAGGCGCACAGTGTCGGCGGGCGAGCGTGAGAAAAGCGCGAGTGCTGTCTCCCTTCCAGCGCCTTGTGACTGGGTGTGCTGAGTGCTACGTCCGAGAACCGCCACAGGTCGGCTGTTCCTGAGGATCCCGCGGGTGCCAAGACGGTGTCCCTGAGGACGTCCCTGTGCTCTCCTCACCGCCCTCCTGGCCCCCGTCCTCCGGCCCCCCAGCACTGGAGCCCCCAGGAGGGAAACCTGTGGGGCCACCTCTGCGCCCCCCAGAGCCCCTGCTGCGATGGCTTTTGACGC